CATGCCTACCACCATGTACTAAATCAAAACCTAAATGGAGCAAAGATCTGAATATTAAAACAGAAACACCAAATCTATTAGAAAACAAGTTGGATGAAAACCTTGAAGCCATAGCGTAGGTAAAGAATTTATGAATAGGAATCATACTGTGCGGGAAATATTTCCCAGAATCAACAACTGGGACCATGTCGTATTAAAAAGTTTCTGCATGTCAAAAGAAATCTCTAGCATAGTGAAGAGAAAACCTACAAACTGGGAAAAAATCTTAGTGAACTGTCCCTCAGAGAAAGGACTTCTGCCTAAAACATCTAAAGAATTTTTAAAAATCAGACCCTCAAAATTCAAGTATCCAATCCAAAAATGGGAATCTTAGATGAATACACAATTCTCAGATGAAGAAATACAAATGGCAAATACATGAAAAAATGTTCCTAATCATTACTCATTAGAGAAATACAAATTAAAACCACACTGAGATTCCATCTCACTCCAGAAAAAATGGCCAGGATCAAGAAAACTACCAACAACAAATACTGGAAAGGATGTGGGGGAAAAGGAACTCTCCTGCACTGTTGGTGGGAGTGTAGACTGGTACACTCATTGTGGAAGTTAATTTGGAGATTCCTCAGAAAGCTGGGATTGGAGGTCCCATTTGTTCCAGCTATTCAACTTCTAGGCATATTCCCAGAAGAACTGAAGACTTTATAGCACAGTGATATATGTGCACCCCTCTTTATAGCAGCACAATCTGTAATAGCCAGATCCTGGAAACAACCTAAATATCCATCAACTAAGGAACGGATTAAAAAGTTGTGGTCTTTTTATATGATGGAGTACTACTTAGCTATAAAAAAGGATCACATTGAGATATTTATAAATAAATAGATGCAGCCTGAGACCATACTCATAAGCAAAATAAAACAAACTCACATATATAAATACCGAATAGTTTCTCTAGTGTGAGAAATGGTAAGAATACATAAAAGTATGTGGTAATCATGATTCCCCATTTTATTACTTTGAAGTCTTACAATGTTTTCATTCATTAATTGGAATTTTTGTATTCTGTGTTGTTTGATTTTATTGTCTGTGATTGCATAAACAGCTATGTTGAAGAAAACAAGGCATTATAATAACTAGTGATGATTTAATATAATCTTGTTTTGAAGTCCCACCAACCTTTTGTTCTTCTGTCTCCATCAGTTTTATCATGTTGTATCTTATTGGATTTTATTATATGTGATAGTATAAACAAAATATTTTATAAACAAAAAGATAATACAGTAATCTTTGTTCATTTTCTGTTAGTTGGTTCTGAATACCCTGTAATACTTTCATTCTCATGAATGGTTTTATACTGTCTTTTTATGTTTGATGCTATAGTATATGAAGGTATACTCAAATATTTCAAGGAAAGACACACTATGGTAGCTACTGTTATGTCGGATTGTCTTGTGGTGAATCACTATGTTGCTTAAATTGTTCTGCTCTGAAAAAAAATTTAAAAATGAAATAAAGTACTACTTTAAAATTCTAGCACAAATGTGAGGCAACATAAATCTACAACTAAGAACTGCTATATAAACACTCAAAAGTCAAAAAATATATTTAATTACTGCTATTTTGGGTGTTTCTAAGAGACTATGACTTATTCATTAAATCAACCCTTTGTGACATGATTATTTCTACTAATTTGTAAAATAGTTTTGAATATAGCATGAATCTATACAAAACACGTGTGATTTATCGTTCAAATGATGTAAATGTTCATCAAAATTTTCCAGCCAACCTGGTTATTCTAAAAATAAATGCTTAGACAAACATCTTCATTGAATCCAATATACCTTTAAATATGAAAACTATGAATTTCGGAGTGACATTGCTTTTTGGTTTTTATCATTTAGTAGCATGAACTTAAGGTTCCTTTATATTCCCTTGTGATTTAATAACTGATTTCCTCTGTTGCAGAGCATTATTTCACTCCCTAAATATATCACAGTTTATTTTCCCGTTTACCATTCATCTATAACTAAGGACCTCTTAGCTCTTTCCAGGCTTAACAATTATGAGTAATGCTGGTTTAAGCCTGTATGAGCCCACTTTTATATGGAAATTAATTTTGAATTCATTTAGGCAAATAGCAAGATGTGTTATTTCTGGCTGGTATATAAAAGAACATTTGATTTTGTAGGGAGATGCTGAATTTTAATCCAAAGTGCATGTCTTATAATGCATTCCCATGGGGCATTGAGAGAGAATGGCTGTCAGTGTGTACCCTCACCAGCATGGGAGTTGTCAGTGTTTTATATTTATTCATTCTTATAGGTAGGCAGAGGTAACTCACTCTAGTTTTAATTTGCAATCCCTTAATGACATGACGTTGAGCAACTTTTCATCCTCTGGTGTGCAATCAGTACATCTTTGTTAGTGATGAGTCTGGTCAAATCTTTTGTCTGTTTATAAACTGTGTGTGTGTGTGTGTGTGTGTGTGTGGCTTCAATTTGAAGAAATGTTTTGTATATTATTGATAACAAACCTTTATTAAATATGTTGTTTGCAATATTTCCTCCCCATCTCTGGCTTCTGTTTCCACTGGTTTAATAGTGTGTTTGGCAGTGTAGAAATTTTTCATATTAATGAAGTTCAAGTTACTGATTTTTTTTCATGACTCATGCTTTTGATAAAATAAGAAAGTCATTGCCAAAGCCAAGGTTATATGCGATTACTCTTATGCTATCTCCAGGGGTTTTGCAGTTTTGCATTTTAGATTTATGTTTAGGGTCCATTGTGAGCTCATTTTTGTGGAAGGTATAAGTTCTATGTTGATATTAAATTTTTGTTTATGGGTATATTTCCTGCATTCATCTGCTTTCGCTCATCTCTCAAAGATCGATTGACTATATGTGTATCCATATATTTCTGAATTTTATCTTCTGCCCCATTGAACCAATTGCCTGTGCTTTCATCCATGCCACTCTCTAAATATTAGTGCTGATTTAAAATCAAATATTGCAATCTGATATTAGATCCATAGCTTTGCTCTTTCCCTTCAATATCATGATGCTAATTTTTGATCTTTTGCTCTTCAGTATATTTTTTAAAATTCAGCAATCATCTAGAATACAATACATCCTTTTTTTAGCTTTATCTCTTTTGTTTTACTTGCAATCTGTGATATCATATTACGAACATGGTTACCTCTTTCTCTAAAGTTTCTATGAACCTTGCTATTTTATACAAAGCAGAAGAGGGTGATAGAAGACCACCACTGTCTTCATGCAGACTCTCCCTCTTTACTTATGATAGGGGATTGTTCTCTGCAGAAGTTTTCTGTCAGTATCTTACCTTTGTTGTTCAGCTCTATGCATTTTTCAAAGTAGTTATTTTTTTTGTAATTGAAGAAAGAACCATTTCAGTTAAGAACATTTAATGAAGTCCAAAGAACATTTTGTGTTAGGTGCGTTTTAATAAATACCTTCCTCATGCAGCCAGAATCCTACCCAAGATTTAGAAAATTTAATCTCTCCAGATATTTTCTGAAGCTCTCTCTGAGGCAATCTCCAGGTCTCATAGTAATCTATTGTTATGTTTTATGAAATAATAATCATAACACATTGACTTGGCCTTTCTTTCGTGAATTTCATAGAGTGATTTCATTCAGTTAAGCAATTTGTCGTTTTGATTAGGATGCTTTAGATGTTCATTCCTGTTGCTGCAGTTAAAGTACTTGACTTATTTGTCAATTTCATTGTTGAGTAGTACTTCACAGTGCATGTATTGCAAATCCTTTGCTTATTCAGTTACTTCTGGACATTTTGATCATATTGAATTTTTGACATATAAATAATGTTGCTATGAGTATTCCTATACAATTCTTTACTTGAGAATATATGTTTATAATTCTTTTGAGTGGATACCTAGTAGTGAAAGTTTAGGTCATAACATAGATTACTTTAATATTATGACACACTACCAAACATTTTTTTTAAAATAATAGTACATTGTACATTTCCACAAGAAGTGTTCAAATGCAGCGATTTTTCCCTTATCCTTGGCATTTTTTCAGGTTATTAGTGCCTGTATTTTCTGAAGTCTGGTAGGTGTGTAATAACATTTTTTGTGGTTGTCAGAATGACAATTTAAAAATCAAGTTAGCTCACCTCATTTTCCCTTTCAAAACCTCCAGTGACTTGCTGGTTTCCTTGATGCTTTACAAAAGAAAGCTCCTAGTCCTCACTGTTGCAGGAGGGGCTGCCCATTTGCCCTCAGAATGTACTGCTTCATGTGCCCTTGCTCTGTGAACAAATCTTGTTGGATCTTTGTGTCTTGACTTCTTTTTTAATTTCTTCCACGCATGGATTAGTTTTCCTGAGCATGCAGTACTCACCTATATTTCTGGAATTCTGTAAATATGGATTCTTTTACATTGCAAACTCTCTCTATTTTGTTTGGGAAAACATTTTTGTTGGACTGGTACGGATGGTCCTTTTTGCTACACCTTTCATCTATATCTCCATGCAATGTTAGATTCTTTTACTTTATTCTCTTAGGATATATTTTATCTTGTTCCCACACTTCTATTGTAGACTGTATATATTTTATCTTGTTCCCACACTTCTATTGTAGACTGTATACTTCATTGTCATTATTTTTTATGAAAATATCTTTACCCAGTGACATTGATGTCAGTAAGATCAAAGCAGGTGAATCACTTAACTTTGTACCCTAACTTCCAGGTTAGTAGCTTGTTGGGCGCAGGTGCTCAACATACCATACCCCACCCGGGACTAAGGACCACGCCAGCTTCCGCAATGCGCTACGTCCCTCTCCAAATTAGTCACCCTGTACTCACTTCGTATTCACCACAGCTGAGTATATTAGCCAGAGCCCGCGTCTCATTCCAGCCCTTCCTCCTCGTGGCAGCCCTCGTGGCAGCCTGATTGGCTACAGTCAGATATATAAGCCAGAACCCACAGCAATAAAGTTGGCAGTTCCTGTTACCCACCTGAAGTGTTTCCTGTCTCATTGGGGAGCTGCGCCGGTCAGTAGCTAAAAGTCAATAATGACTTTATTTCTCAAATGAAAGAATGAGTAATAAGCATGCAATATTCTCTAGTTCCCATCTTGAGAATTATGTTCTTGTCTTCCACAAAACATAGAGAACAAAATACTCCTCTATATGAGTAACTTCTTTTTTTTTTTTTTTTTTTTTGTCTTTTTTGTTTTTATCGGTACCAGGGATCGAACTCACGACTGCCTGCTTGCAAGGCAGGCGCTTATGCCACTGAGCTAAATCCCCAGCCCTATATGAGTAACTTCTGAGTTATTGTTCTATACTGAGTCGATTATTTTCCTTCCGACAATGATTAATCCAATGTGTTCTTAAATAGATGTGAAAAAAGTCTATTTCTGGACCTTCAAACTGAAAGGCTCTTGCCCTAGTATGAACTACTGTGCAATTATGGTGGTGGTCTAACATGAAGAAAGGCCAAAGCAGAAATGTTTAGTACTACCTGCTTCTTCTTCAGCCCTAATTGCATCTCCCCTTCCTGTTTACATGCACAGAGAATTCCAATCGTCTCCCCAACACGTCATCAATATGCGCCCCATGAACCACTTCTGATCGGAGATCATATAATGCTCTGCCTGTCTGTATCTGGTTGAAGGAGACAGCCCAGCTGCCATGGGTTGTGAGCTCCTTTCCATGCCTCAACTCAATAAACCTGTTCATTAGGTAGTTTTTGCTTCTCTATTGTACCAAAATAACACAAACTTTTTATGAATCCATAATTTGCCATAAATTTACTTTACAGTGCCTATTATTAGTAGAAATATGAATTTAGATATTTTAAGTGGGTCATTCTGAATAAGATGGTTAAAAGTCATGTAATAAATTATGTCCTTAAAATCTTAGACATTTTCATATTTTATGTATATTCAGTAACATACTCAAGTGTTAGGTTCAGGCTTTTACAATGCTTAATTAACAAAACTTCCAAATATTTCTTAAAATCTTTCTTCTGCTCTTTTCACAGGGATGAGCCTCCAAATGCAGACTTATAAGGTGTGCTTTGGCTCTGATCCATCTTTAACTGGGATCCCTGACTCAAGGCAGGACAATCAAATTTTCTCCCATGCGAATCGGGAAATTGCATTGAGAAATCTCTGCCAGTCTGGACTGAACATCAAAGTGGGCTAATAAATGCAGTCTGATGTTAAAAATGCCAGTTCTGTAAAAGGTAGGTCATCAAAGAAAAAATAGAATTAAAAATTTTTATGCTGCTCTAATTTTTCTGTGACATATGTTTCTTGCTAATATAACATATATTAGTCATTATATGCATACTACTTATTGTTAATCTCCTGTAACCAGAAATTAGTTCTATATTTATTGGGATTATTTCTTTCACTACTGATATATATCAAGTGCCAAGAATAGTGCCTGGCACATAGAAGATAGAAATAATTTTTAAATAAATGAATAAATATTAGTTATAATTTGGGTTTATTTCCAAACAACAGATTTACTCCATGGGATTTTCAATTTTATTACAGACTTTGGTTCAATTTTTGAACAGACTAAAAACATTCAAAAATCTTTAGGCCTAGCATTGCAGTAATTCTCATCAGAAATCAAAAAGAATATGATAAATTTAAAATAGATTTGAAATCTATAGGTCAAAAAGTTAACTAAATTCCAAGTTAGATATTTAAATTTATTCATACTTGACAAAGCAAATGAAAATTGCCAAGTTAAAACTAATCACAATGTTTTTAGAGGTCAAATTGCTCTTTGCATTGTGAGATGAGTAAGTTGAAAGGAAAATGTACTTTGAAAATAACAAAAACACAATCAATAAAATTCAAAACCAGGACTGGGGAATAGTTCATTGTAGAGTATTTACCTAGCTTTCTTAAGGCCTTGGGTTCGATTTTCAGAACCACAATAAGTAATAAAAATGGCTATGAAATGTGGAATATTATTCAATGCTCATAGAATTTGGAGTGTTATTTAATTTAGTGTTAGAGCACAGAGACTGCATTAGTAGAAATAGAAAACTCATAATATTCCTCTACAGGTGTCTATAATTTTGGGTTCAATTATTTCTGTTCCTTTTGGAAATAAACACAGCCACAACCACTTTTAAAATTTAAGTAAATAAATAAGCAAGCATACAAATAATTTATCATGTTCGGTGACTTGGTAAATTATAATCTTAATGTTGATTAAGCATAATATTTTACTTTTTAAATTATATAATTCTTCTTTTTCCCCCCTCCCCTTCTTTTTTCAACACTTCTTCTCCTCCTTACTTACAAAAGCTTTGTCTCTATTTTTTTCTATTCTCTTTTTATCTTTTCCTTTCCTTCAATACGCCCTTTATAACACAACACCTTAATCTCTTATGTTCAAGTTTTACTACTGAGATACTGATATGTGTTCTCTGAATATTCAATAGAATATACACTTGGGCTTGATCAACTAGTATCAGGTTCATACTAAGCAACTCTGGGAATTTGAAGAAGTCAGTAAATATCAAAAGCAATTCCATCAAGCAATATGTCATAGCAATTTAGATAGTTTTGTTGGATTTCACAAGAAAACTTATTTTTTAACTTTTTCAATATCAGAATAAATTCCGAGGAAACAGATGTCCTATCAAGTCACGTCATAATAGTAGGAATTGAGTGTTTTACAGTCCATTCAAAACTATCACATAATTGACCACTTAATCCAAACAATGAACCAGTAAGGATTGCAGAGATATTTCTATTTGCCCACTTCATAGCTAAATACAGCAAGGCTTACAAAGCTCCAGTGGTTTGCCGTAATTTATTACACAGAATATACTCAAGAAAAATTTCCAAATTAAAACAGGGTATGGTGGTGCATGTCATAATCCTGGCACTTTTGGAGCCTAAAACAGGAGAATCACAAGTAGGAGCACAGCCTAAATTACAAAGGGTTGAGGCAGGGATATAACTCAGTGTAAAGGTCCTGGATTCCAACCCCAGTACTTTACAGAAACAGAGAGAGAAAGAAAGACAGGAGCAAGGAAGAAGGAAGGAAGAAAGGAAGGAAGGAAGGAAGGAAAGAAGGTAGGAAGGAAGGAAGGAAGAAAGGAAGGAAGGAAGGAAGGAAGGAAGGAAGGAAGGAAGGAAGGAAGGAAGGAAGGAAGGAAGGAAATCTTACATAAAATATAGTGTCACATGTAAGAATACAGAACTACAAATAGTGTTTGTTAGCATTTTATACACACCCAGTTTAGGATTTCGGTCAGAGCAGAGCACCATTTAATGTGGGGATGTGATCAGGGAAGACAAATATAAAAAGGATGAAGTATCTCAAGCTAGAGAATTTTAATGGACGTAGCTCAGGGGTGCTGGCCATAGATAGTGCTCTTGTTAGCTTGTATCACCAGATGTGATAGTATTGAGAAAAAATTCTTCTATTGATGATGTTACAAATGTGACATGTGAATTTAATAAAAGTTAAATGGGCTATCCAATCAAAAGTACACAGCTGCAAAGCTGTGGGTTGAATTTCTTTCTTTCTTTCTTTCTTGTTAACAGGACATGTGTTTTGATTAATTAGAGATCCTTTCCACAGTAAACTCAGTTAAAAATGATTGCTTCCAATCCCAGAAACTCCACAGCAGTTACCACAGTCTTCCCAAGATGCCAGCAACTCCAGTGGGGGCTGTTTTGTTGAACGCGAAAGCACGGATTTGTGAAGACATGAGCAGTGGAGAAGACAGGCCCAGCAGCTTTCCTCCCAGGGATAAAGAGCACTCCTTTTTCAGACTGGAAGTGGCCCAGACACTGTGCTTGGAGTCTTAGAATTCTGATGGTTTTGTGTTAAAAATTAAAGTCTGCATACTGGTTTCAAAACAATTAATGAGGGAGTTGGTGTTTTCTATTACAGTCCCCATTTGGGCAGAAATCACATGGACTGGAATGCCAACCTTCTATTTCTTGTTCAGATCAGATCTGGCCTATTTTTATATTTAAGCCTAAGCCATTGAAATGGTTAGTGCCTCTTAAATATTCAACCATAATTTAGACGCTGACATTTTTTCTTGCTGATCATTAGTTTCTTGGGAGAGAAGGGAAGTTGCTAATACCTTTATTTCTTTTCAAGAAGACTTTTTAAAAAAAATAGTGTAACTTGTCTTAAACATTGTAGAAAGTCTTCACGTTTATTTAGTCAACACAGAAGGGGCTTGGCAATTACTTCCTTAGCAGGGCCAGCAGATAGATAATCCTTTACTGCTTTATCTTAGGACCCCCTTCCCCATTCTCAGAAAAGACCTCGGCACTCTTTAATTTCAAATGCCTTTTTATGCTATTTTGTTTTAAAATTTATTAGTGTAGTAAACAATGCACATTTCATCTACTTAGGATTTAATATAATGATATCTCTATAAACTTTATTGCCAGGTTAAGGATATTGTTTTAATGTTACTCTCTCAAAAATCCATAATCTTAGTTTTACAGATATTTGTATCACAGCAATGCAGAAATACGGGAAGTTGAACAGAATGAGGTAAGTATGGGATTCACAAATGTTAATTTGTCGTTTATTTTGTTTAATTTCTGATATTAAAGTTATCTGTATGTTTATATTTTATTTCCTTTACAATTCACAGGTACAAATGTATTGTATATCAGTGCCAAGATTTCAATATGAAGTAAAAATAATATAAGCATTTGTAGCATTATAACTGTGAGATAATATGTGGTAATACAGCCATAAAAATGGAGGTACAAGCTTTTCACATATCAGATTTTGTGCAGATAACTTAACTTATAAACTGTAGATAAACATTCAAATACACATAAAATTCTGTGTGTTTTGTCTTATGTATGATAGGCTTGTCTCTTCAAGTAAATAAAATTTATTGTGCACCCTCTGTTAAAATCAGGTATTGTTGCCGTTTTTAGTGGTTAGTCAACATCCATTGGATGTTTTCCAATGTGGATCTTTGTTAAGTGAGCATAGCTGACAATTTAAAATAAATTATTATTTATTTTAGTGCCATTTAGTATTATACAGCAAAACAAACAAAAAACACAAACAAGATCCAAACAAACAGTAGCGCTCCTGGCATGTTTGCAATTCATGTGTCATGTACTGGATTAACATAAGATTAGAAACCACTGCCAACTTCATAAAGGATGTGGTAAAATGGGCTTATATTCAGTGGAAAAAAGTGTCACAACCTTTGAAAAATATTGGGACTTATGAGGAACCTCAAAATTTTCACAACTCTTTATGACAATAATTTGATTTGTGAACACCTACCCAAAGTAAACAAAGAAGCAAGAAGAATAGCTAAATATTTTACTTATCATATTTGTACAGTATGAGATAACTGCAGCATGAGAAAATCTGCAGTAAGGTGGCATAAATATAGTTCTAATAATAAAGATATTTTTTCTGCTTCAGATTAAATGCAGGAAAACTTTGTCAGTGTACAATGATTTCCAGCAATAGAGAAGTATCTTACCAGATAATTGGCCCAAGCAGTATTTTTCAACAATTAAAAATATTTTAACATTGTGATAACACTTTCTCAAAGATATTATTAAAAAGAATAAATTTACATGTAAAAAATGACAAAAAGTACACACAAAACAATGCCAACGTGAAAGGAATTGTACATGCTGTATGGGTCCAAATTTATCAAAACTAACATGAAGGAAGTTCTATTAGCACAATAGATGGCATAGTTATTGATATGATGATAATATATAGCTGTTTGTATCTATGTATCTAGTGTGGTATTTTTATCATGATATGATGCTCAGTAAAATACTTTGTTATATGTATTCAATATACATCATCATACAGAATAACAAATATCCTTTGATTTCAAGAGGGTGGTGAGTTATTTTGCTACCTAGGGAGTTAGAAGGGGTAAGAACTGAGAGAAGGTGGAAAAAAGGAACACTAGAAAAGAAAGAAAATGGAAAGAAAAAGATTCGTTAGGCTTAAATCGATATAGAAAAATCATAGTCCTATATCTATATGTTGTATATGATTAATGTATGTGTATGCATCATTCATCTATTATGTCATTCCTAGAACGTGTCTGTTACTCAGAATATAGTGTGCGAATCAACAAATTGTATTATTAAGAAAAATAAGTTTTTCTCCTTCAAATGCCTTCAGCATGTACTTCTCCTTTTATATCAATTTCTTTTTAAACCACATATTTGTGTTATTTGCATATTTTTCAAAACAAAAAGCAGTGTGGTTATTATTAAGAGGCAACTTTTTATGGATAAAATTTATTTTTAATTTTATGTGCTTATGGGGCACAGTGAAATACATTGTTATATGTATTCAGTATGCAATCATCGTATCAGAATGACTATATTTCTAATTCTTGAAACGTATTTCATTTCTTTGTGCTAGGAAACTTCGAAATCCTCTAGTTTTTTTTTTTTTTTAATATGCAGTAAACTGTAGTTATGCTACTGTCCCATGGAACATTAAAACACTATTTGTTTCCAACAGTATTTTGACAATGATATGTATATATCCTAGGTAATTAACGAAATCTATTGATATGGAATTTAGACCTCAATTTTGAGCCCAGTTTTCATAAGAAAATAAACTACAGCAAATAATAATATTTTCCCCAACTACCTGTTACTTTAAAATTTAAGGTCATTTTAAATGTAAAGACTCATGGTTGCCTGCACAGAAAACATGTACTTTGATAGCACCGTGGAGAATGAAATCACTGAGATGTCAATAAAAAATCCCTGAATTTCAATTCCATTCATGTGACTAAATCTAATTGTAGATCTTTGACATAGTTTAGTTTCTGTAAACAGACACCTCCACAAATATTTTTAAAATCTGATGACTAAACCTAAATAAAAATGAGAATTTGTTGTAATGGTCAATTATAAGACTTAAAAAGAACTATGCAAGTCCGTTTATAAAATCTCTGCATTACACATGCACACCTAGGACTATGACCTGTAAACTAGAACATATATCACCAACTCTGGAAAGCAAATGTTAGCAAAATAAGAAGAAATTATTTAAAAAAAAACTTGATCGAATGAGGACAATTATATCATTTTGGTTGCTTTACAGTATTTATTTTTTTAAAATAACATTTTTGTGATGACAAATTTTCTAGATACTGAAATTTTCTAAAATCTAGGAAACACTATTATAAATTGCTTTTGTTTAGAATTTTCTAAATTTGACATCAAAACAATAAGGTTATATGTGTGTCAATAACACTGCTATGTTATGAAAAGACTTAATTTAAAAAGAAAGAGTTACATTCAAATCATTGCTCTTTTTTTTTTTTTTTTTTTTTTTTTCTGGCGAATTTAGTAAAAGGGTGCCCCCTTGTGATTTCTAAACACATGAATTACTGAAACTAAACCGAGAAGGCATAAAAATTTGGAATAACCCAAAACAGGAAACCAAAGCAGTAATTAAAAACCTGCCAGTAAGAAAAACTGAACACTTGATGGACTTACTGCTAAATCTATGAGACCTCTAAGGATGTCTAAAACCAATGCTCCTCAAACTCTTCAATGAAATTGAAAGAGTAGCAGTGTTTCCACTCACATTTCTGAAGCCAGGATAACTTTGTTCATAAAACCAGACAAAGACTCAACTAAAAAGAAAACTACGAGTCAATCTCATTTATGAATACAAATATAAAAATATTCAGTAAGTTATTTACAAATAGAATACCACAAATCATCAAAAGAATCATGCATCATTCCCAAGTTCGTTTTGTCTCACGGTTGCAAGGATGATTCAACACACACGAATCAATAAATATAATAAACCATATAAACGGAAAAAAAAAACTATAGGAAGATATCAATGGGTCCAGAAAAGTTTTAATAAAATTTAATACTATTCATGATAAAAAAACCTTGAGAATATAGATATAGAAGGACTTTACCTGAGTTTAATAAAAGTCATTTATGACAAATTAACAGCCAACATCATATTAAATGGGGGGAAATTTGGAAGCTTTCCCTATAAAATCAGAAACAAGAAAAGAACTCCCACTATCATGACTTCTGTTCAATACATTACTCAAAGCGTTAGCCAGAGCGATCAGACAAGAGAAAGTAGTAATCTGAGTAAATATAGGAAAAGAAGTCAAGTTATGATTATTTTAAAACGACATGATCTACGCAGAAGGCGTAAAACATAAACACTCTTGGAATTAATAACCAAATTCAGTCATGGAGCGGGATGCAAACCTAGCATAAAAAAAATCACCAGTGTTCCTCAATACCTAATAAATTCACTAAGAAAGTAGCACCACTATCCCCTTTACAGTAACATCAAGAAAAATGAAACACCTAGGAATTAACTTAAGCGAGGAAATGGAAAACCTCTGCAACAAACACTGTCATAGTCTGAAAAGGAGATGGAAGAGGACATCAAGAAACAGAAAGACATCCCCTCTTCCTGGATTGGCAGAATCAGTGTTGGCAGGATGGCCAAACTTAAAACGGATATAGAGATTTAATTCTGTCCCAATCAAAATACCAGCAGCATGGCTCATAGCACTAAAAAAAGCAATTCTAAAATTCATACTGAACCAGAGGACACCCAGAATAGCCAAAGCAATTGTGGGCAATACGGGCAAAGCAAGAAGCATCAAAATACCTAACTTCAAGTTATAATACAAAGCTAACGAGGAAAAAATGAGAATACTGCAGAGTTCACAGAAACAACCCCAGATACATTCAGATAATTATTTTTTTTTTACAAAGAAATGAAAAACATATATTGGAGGAAAGAAGCTATTTTAGCAAATGGTGCTGGGGAAACTGTCTACCCTCAGAAGATTGAAGCCGGATCCATATCTCTCACCATGTACTAAAATAAAATAAAAGTGGATCAAAGATTCTAAGTGATTCAACAGAAATACAAAACCTATGAGGAAATAAAATAGGTAAAACTGTTGAAGTTATAAGTGTAGGGAAAGACTTTCTCAGCAGAACTCCAATTGCACAACAAATGATAACAAGATTAAAGAAATGGGATACATGTAGCATTTGTACAATAAAAATTAAAAATAAAAGATAAAAATCAAAGGAAATATGATGAGTCAGAAAATACTATGCCATTATGGATTATTAAGATGTTATTTTTCTTGAAGCTAAGGATTGAATGCAACTTAATAAAATTCTCGAAAGCTCAAAAAATGCCATATAAATCAGCTAATCCTAAAATTTACGTAGAAAAGCAGAAAAACTGTAATAATCAAAATAATTTTGAAATGAACAAAACAGAGCACCTCACTATACAAATTCAATATTGTAAGGTTACAAGAATCAAAGAAGTCCACTGAATGCTAAAGAAATGAAAATATACCCCAAGTACCAAATGCTGCCCACAGCCTCTATTCTTAAGGCCTATGAGCCAATTTTAGCTTTTTTATTTTTACACTTTGAAATTTTTAACTATAAAAATTGCAAAGCAAAATATGAAACCCACACAGCCTAACACATGTACAATAATGTTTTGTCCATTATGAAAATAGTTTTCTGATTCATGGCATAAAATAGAATAGATACATAGATCAGTGGCACTAAATAGAGAATCTAGTAATTCACAAACACTGTGCAATGACAACTCAATTCATAGAGAGTAGTTGATAAGTCCATTTTCCATTTGTTTTTGCAAATGCTCCTCAATCACATGTGTTTCCATACATAAAATACAAAATTGTATTATATAAATCACAGTATATACAAAATAAATCAAATTATATTATAGATCAAAATACAAAAAATTTAAAAAAATTGTAGAGTATGATAATTTATGATCTAAATTTAAGAAGATGTGATTTGAATAAAATATCAAAAACACAAAAAATATTATGAATTATATTACAGAAGATGCTTATAAAAGGAAGAGGTAAAACAAAATGAGAGAAAAAAACTTCAAATCATATATGTGATAAAAGACATATCCTGAAAACAGTAAAATATTAATACAATTGAAAAAAGGCAAGAAAAATAAAGAACTAAAACTAAATAGATAAAATTCAAGACAGTATGACAAATGAAAAAGAAGCACATATAAAGAATCTCAATCATGAATCACTTCAGAAATCAAATTCAAAAAAAATGATTTATCTCTGTACAAGTACTTAAAAAACAAATATCTATCAATTCTAGACTCTGAAGGGACTGTGGTATAATGCTATGACATATATTGCTGGAAGGAATGCAAAGTTGTAAAGCACATTAGACAATTGCTTAGCAGAGTTAGCAGAAACAATTTAGCAATTTCTGATATATGCTAGGTGGCAATCACAAAATCAATTATTTTACATCTTATTATACTAAGATAGACAAAACTAGGTGCAGATATAGAACTAAAAAATTGAAATATATTCAAGAAAATATCTGCACTGATTGACACAAAATTCACTTCTCAATTATATTAGTATTATTCTTAAATTTGATATTTATTAGATTTCTCTCTCTCTCTCTCTCTCTCTCTCTATATATATATATATATATATATATATATATTTGGGTGTGAGAAACAAATAAGCATATAATTTACAGATATGTTATTGTACTTGAAATGTCCCTCAAAACTTACTTACTAAAAAGGTTGATTGCAGCTAATTGATAATTTGGAAAATGATTGGATCATGGGACAAACATCCTGATATGTCAATTTAATGTGACTAAGAACATGTAGCAGTTTAGTGAGGCACATTAGTAGTGTGTCTAAGTAACGAAGGCAACATCTTGGGAAGCATATGTGCTCCTTAGCCCAATCTTCGCTAGCAGTGTGCCCATTGTTTGTGTGTTTTTTCTGCCTCAGGACCACTGGATCACAGACTCAATCCTCTTAACTGTAAACTATATCAAACCTTCCCTCCTTTAAATTTGAATATCACATATTGTGTTCAATAATGAAAAAACTGAATAAAACAGAAAATTGGTAACTGAGAAGTAGGGTCCTTTTTCTAATTATACTTGATCATGTGTTTAGAAGTCTTCAAAAATAATTTGTGGATAGAGTTGAGAAAGATCTGGAGATGTTGGCTATAAGAAGTCTCCAAATACTGGAAGCCAAGGTAGATGGACACCACTGGTTAAAATTCAGAGGACCTGAATGCTGATAGGAATGCAAATGGTTAAGGTTGGCTCAGGAGGTTTCATCTGGAAGCAAGAACTTCACTGCGAGTGGACGGAGGCCGTGTGTGCTACACTTGCTCAGGAAGTTTATCTACATCCTTCCCTTGTCCTCAGACTTGGCAAGAGGATTAATTTAAAGATGTCCAACTAACTAATCAGGTGGAGGACATTTCAAGACAGGTGAATGTTCGCCTGTGACGTGGATACAGTGCTCTATTTTTAG